CCCCAAAACCCCAAAACCCCAAAACCCCAAAACCCCAGGAAAGAGTAATTGTATTGAAAATGTAAGTCTGGCCTAGGGTGTTTATTAATTTATTTTTAATAAAAATAGGAGTTATTAGCTTAAAAGGAATATCTCTAATATCTTTTCTTAGAGGTATGTTATTTTATAAACTATTGGCAAGATTCTTCCAGATTCAAGCTGAATTTAGACAAGATGTGGCCAGAAATTCCTAAAGAAAGTACTGACTGTAGAAGAAGAGCATATTTGGGACATAATTTGCCTCGTTCTTTCAAGGATAGGAACAAATTCTGAAGATATCTCATTTGCTGGTCTTTGAGATTATGGCTTTAAGATTTTTTATAGTTTAGTTTGAGGTTTGATCGCAGTTTTAAAAACTTTCTTTTCCTTAATCAAATGATTTTAAGCATAATTTTCTTTAGTATAGAGCCTAAAGACAAACATCCTGCATCGTTTGGTTTTTAGTGAAACTTTTGAAGTAAATGCATATTTGAGTATAAGTGATTATAGATATTTGCATTCGAGAAGTTTACACTCTTTAAGTGTTTTTTATAATCTCGAATTAATCTTTATGAAATTTGATGAAGCAAGATTATTATTTTGCATGAAATTAAGATCTATCGATGATTTGATGATACATTAGATGACAAATTACAATATTAAGGCTAGATTTTGGATAGGCTATTGCAAATAATTGTCCTCACTTTACTAAAAAATTGAATTTTTATGAAGTTTAGGTTTAAAGAACTTCCCATAAACTCTTATAAAGAAGTCTAAGAAACTCACATATAATTTTTGGGAAAATAGATAACATCTGCAGAAGAGCAGAGATTTCTCCAGGAACGGAAGCAGGTATTATTCAAAAATAACATATTTAGTATGTTAAAACTCTCACTGTTCTCAAATATAGAGAACTCCAAAATAGATCCTTTTTCAGTTAAACTTATGATGCCTTAAATCCGTTAAATCAAATCGGAAGTTTACATTTGAAGCAATATTCTAATAGTAATGGGCTGAGTGAACAAAGGATGTGTAGAGCTAGAGCTCTAGATATAATAATAAACAAACATTTTCAGCTTGCTTTCTCTTCAACGATTTTATTTTCTAGTTAAAGACACACTCGAGTCTTCTACTGGGGTATCCTTAGCTTAAGATCCTTGATATGTAAATCTCAGATCCTTCCGTTCGCTCTACGACCTTAATAGAAATCCTCTTTGCTTCTTAGCTGCTTTGAAAATGATCGAAGAATGTTTATCCTCATAATCAGCTTGATTAGATCTCAGATTTCTTTTCTTCTCATCAAGATGCTTCTTCAAGACATCTTTGAAGTTAAAAGAAAGAACAAACAGAAAAAGCATATCTTTACTGTAAATGCAGTGATGAGCTGAATGGTTTTAATAAGTATTCATTTAGATAACCATATTAAGTATGCAACAGCAGTCTCTTTCAAAACATTTGCTCCATGAACTTCAAGTCTTCCTTATTCTCAGAGATCGGCTTCAAGACAGGAAGGATCAGAAACGATACCTCAGGAGAATGAACCTGACTAAAGGCTAAGTGTCAAATTGTAGGAGAAATGAAGACAGAATGAGGAATGAAAGGAAAAGATTATTAAGAAGAATAATAAGAATATGTGAACAATAGCTATTAACCATTGAGAATATTAAAGTTAATCCAACTCATAGATCTTTTTTACTAGTCTCAAACTGACTCTAATAAGTCCATGTTAAACTCAGCTTTGTAGTTCAAATTTTGAATGCATGTCTTCTTGAATCATTAAAGATAAACTATCCTAAAATTTCTCAACTTGATACACTAAATATTGATAAAAACTTCTGTTATTTCCTTAAAAACTGTTCAGGTTTGCACATAAAAATGAAAAATTTCACTGTTTTCTAATTTTTGGAAAAGAACCTATTTATTGTTGCATTCGACTTTTGCATATTTTTAGAAAACTGATACACTGAAGAGAGGATTCTTGGAAATAACCTAACAATAATGTACAAGAAGTAAAGCTGCGAATCAAAATTTACTGAAATTTACTCAAAATACTCGACACTGCACTAAGTTTTGCTATGAACATTTTTGTGTTTATGAATGAAATATAACAGCTGTTTAATATATTCCATCAAGGTATTGGTTATTCTTAACTTTTCTTAAGCAGTATAATGTATCTTTAATCTTCCATTGTACACCATATTTACTTAATTATATCCTAATTTCCTTCGAAAATGTATTTGGGGTTTTGGGGTTTTGGGGTTTTGGGG